CCCGGTTTTTTTTGTGTGTGTATGTGGGTGTTTGCTCATGACAACTGTGTTGCTGTCTCAAAAACAATAAAAGGGAGAAAGTAAAGAAAATAGACTAATGCATAAAAATTCCATTGTTATTTCCTGTATATTTTTAAGGTCATGTAAAAACTACACTTACAGTATGCTACATTTTTTTCCTAAGTATTCCTGCCCAAAGTGAAGAAACAATTTAGGAATAAAGGGGAAAAACTTTTCTAAGAATAAAGGTGATACTTAATACTTATTTCAGTACACTACTCTTGTTAGCAATCTTTGTCATACATAATTTACTGTCATCTGTGAGGTCTGTAACATGAGACTATGTTGGAATGAAGTTTGCTTTTTGACTATCTAAGGTATTCCCAGAATTACACCTCCATAATATTCAAGATTTTAATACTACATAATTATATCAATTTTATTATATGGCTTTCATGTTAAAACAAGAATGACACATTTATTTATGACTTGTGTATATTAAACAAATGTTTTTTATAAAGGGAAATGCATATCTTTTCCCTATTTATGTTAGAAACCATTTGACACATTGTAATAGAATGAAAGGACTTATTTATTTATTCATTTGTTCTTTTTAACTTCCCAACTATCCAGTCATGGTTTTCCCAGTCTCCAACAATTATCAAAGATGTTTGAATAAGTAGCTGCTAACAAAAACAATCTTAAAATATTTTTGTACTTTGAGTTTTTAAAATCATAATTGCTGTTTAGGATTTATATTCATCCTACAGAAAGGAACAAAATTGTCTGAAGTATTAAATTGGCTTTTAAAAAGAAAAAATAGTCAAAACAATAAAATAAAATCTTTTAAATTATTTTTTCAGTGGTGAAACCGGAGATCTAAATGGTTAATGTTTTACTTGGTCTCATTTTCAATCAAGTTTGAGTAGTCCCTGAAGAGACACCATAACTTCAATGAACATTAATAGAAATACAACAAATAAATCTTGGATATAATAATTTTTCCAATTAGTGATAGATTATTGCACTCATTTCTGCTTCAGTTTTTTTAAATCAGCATAATAACAGACTGGTATGCTCAGAGGAAGATTTGTAGAAAAATACGGATTTAGAGGATTCCAATAATTCTGATAGTTGATGTAACCAGGAATCTTGAGCCTCACAGAATTAGAACAAACATGTAGAGATTGAAATATGTAGATCGGGGCTCACCTTTGCCATAATGATATCCTAAAACTGAGAAGTGACCCTAATGAGTGATAGTAGATACCACCTCACCCCACTTCATTTGTAAGATAACCATATTCCTGAAGACTGTTATATAGAATAGACAATCTGACCTCTAAGGTCCCTTTAAACTTCATGTACATTTGATTCTATCAAACAAAGACTTGGGAACAAGAGCAGAGTGGAGAGGGAGGTACTATAAGCAGACTGTTATATAGAATAGACAATCTGACCTCTAAGGTCCCTTTAAACTTCATGTATATTTGATTCTATCAAACAAAGACTTGGGAACAAGAGCAGAGTGGAGAGGGAGGTACTATAAGTATGCCAGAAGGGACAGAGGAAAAATGAATTCCAGTTTACTTGTAGTATGGGGCCCTAGTCATCAAGTTTTGAATAACACCAAATGTGAAAAAATCACCTCTGTCATTATTCCTTTAGTCATAGGAAAAATATCTCTCTATTTCAGAAAACGTCCAAAATAAGGCTCCTACTGGATTTTGAATCTGTTATTTTATACAGTTTAAAATGATTTTGGTTGGAAACTGGCAAAATCATTAACCTGTCAGCTTTTAATCATTGCATGGACAGGATAGAAACATCTCAATTTACAGTGGTACTGGAGAAAAATTCAACAGTAAAAGAAAGGACATTTAACTGAAGATTAAATTGCATGAGCTACTATTCAAATAAAACATCCTGTCACTTATTACTTTTTTTTTTGAATTGTATGGACAAGCTTTTAGAAAATTAGAAAAAAATATATTAAATATTAAAAATGACTTAAATATAATATCATTATCCAAGTTTTTGTTCTGGTTGAAATATGCATAAATATCCATGTGATACCCTCTCGATTATGAGAGTATTAGGGATCTCTAGAATGGATACTTCACATAGTATATGTAAAGAGAGAAATGTTAAATCACATAGTCAGCATGAGCAACATAATTTGTATCATGAGAACTAATACTGGTTTTTTTTTTTTGTCTTTTTCGTGACCGGTAAGGGGATTGCAACCCTTGGTGTGGTGTCGCCCACACCCCATATAAATTTATATTTTATGGATAATCCCTAAAAATCTTAAGCAATATTGATAAAAGTGGGATATTAAGGAACTAAATCATTTTCATCCACAATGAATGTGACCTAATTCTGCAAGACAGAAAAACCTGATATCTAACCTCTTTGCATGTAAGTGAGGTGCAATGTTAGTCAACTTGTTCTATGTCCCTGTGCTGTTTCCTGCATTTGCTTCCCTCTTATTAAAATTAACCTCAAATGACAAACATCCTGAAAAATGAACACTTGCATAGTATTTATATTTCTCTTATGTAAATGTAACAAAGTTGGACTACCCCTATTCTGCGGGCATTCAAATAAATTTACATAGAACCCTTTATTCTCTGAATTGGGAGAAACCTTAATTCTCCTGTACTTCTGGCGATTGGATTATGATTTTTCCTATAATTCACTGGCCATTTTCTGAATTAAAACACTCTGAATATTATCTGTATAATTTTACCAACTAAAATATGTGAAATTTTATTATTTCCTGAATTTTACTGAAATTTGGGGAACAAAGGAGGGGCTCTCACTGGCCATTTTCTGAATTAAAACACTCTGAATATTATCTGTATAATTTTACCAACTGAAATATGTGAAATTTTATTATTTCCTGAATTTTACTGAAATTTGGGGAACAAAGGAGGGGCTTTGCAATAGCATTGCAGTATATAGAATAATATGTGCACAAATTTGGTCTTAAACTGGACTGCAGCCATCCTCAATGGCTATCACCTGATATAGAGAAGCCTGACTTCTATTATATTCTTGGGCCTTTTGACCATAAATTGATGACTTTGTTTATTGATGAAAGATTATTCATATGTTCTTCTAAACAGAAGGCTTTTCTATCAAGGGGATATGCATCCCTGAGAATGCTAAAATATTTCCTGTTTGTTGAGATTTAAACACTAATATGGAGTTTCTATTACATAGGAAATATTCTAATGCATTTTTGTTATACATAGATAGGCTGTAATATGTTATTTATAAAAATAATTCTTAACATGTTTGAGAAGAGGACTTATTTGATTTTGTTTACTTTATGTCAAACTAATGGAATATTAAAAATTTCATAGATGGCTGTAATAGTATTTATACTGTACTTTCATAATCCTTTTGTAAATATGGCTGAAATATTATTAGAATAAGACTTTTGAAAATCAAAAAATGAATGTCTTTTCATTTGTTAGAATAGTTGTATAGTAGAATAAACATGTTTCTTATGATTGTAATCCCAGTAAGATGTTCAAGTCCTACTGTGTGGTACTCTAAGTAAGACTAAGGGCATTTTTAATTTTCATCTATAAAAAAGTGAAAAGGAGAAGACTTTCAAACCATCTTCCCACCTTTTACATTTAAATATAATCACAATTTTAGTTTTAGAGTTAGCAAAGAAATATGTGCCCATAATTTAATATTGTATTATAAATATATTATTTGTTATATGTTATAATACATTAAACCAAATTGTTATCACAGTTTTGAGATCAAGTTCACATAGAAACAGCTTCTGTGTAGTGTTGGATCTAAAGGCTAATAGGGACAGTAGGACACAAGATGAACGTTTTCTTCTCTATTTTTTTATAGGCAGCTTCCTTAACTGTGGACTCCTGTTCTGAGAACCAGGAACCAGGATATTGCACCATCAGTAATGTGGCAGTTTCAGATGACTGGTAAGTAAAATTATTAGTTTGATCTTTATTCTTACTTGAAAATTAAAAAGAAATTATAAATTTTTAAATAATTACATTATGCTAAGTATTACATAAAATTTTAAGATATTTTACTCCCCCCAGAAGGATCTTTATACTACAAAATAGTTAATAATTAGTGTACAAAATATTGTGTTACAATGGTGTGAAATGAAGTGGTAGATATGAGGATAAAAGTTGAGAAAAGAAAGTTTAATGTAGCCAGTATTCTTTGAAACATTTCATAAAATAGATGCATGTGACCTGGGTCCTGAAAGAAGCAGAGAATAAGGACCCCAACTCTTTTAAACACATTTGCTAAAAGTTTATGTGACAATTATCAAGAAGTATTTTTCAATAGCACCTAAAGTTGAAACAGCATTAACCTATCAAAAACATAAGAGACTTTGGGAGGGAGGTTTTGGTCATGGGCCACAATAATCAACCACATTGTATATCAACAAAATAAAATAAAATATTTAAAAAAAATAAGAGACTTTTAATAGGAGTAGTAACAAACAGAGAAAAATAGTGACAAATCATTCATTGCATTAATGAATTTACTGGCATTTCTTAACACTTCTGTAGTGAAGGGACAATGTAATCTGACATATTAGAGTTGTCACTACTTCCACAGCTTTTCATCTTCTCCTTGACAGTATGCTCCTTCTTGCTGACTCAACATTATGATATACATCTGACTAATTGAAAATATAATTTCCATAAGTTTTATTATTTTTCATACACTGGAAGCCTAACAGTCCAGTAGGTATGTGTTTAAAGAACACACTTTACCACGCTATAACACATGACAGAAAAATTTGTATTCACTTTTTTTTTTAACTAAATGTTATACTAAAATGTGTTGTGTTGGTATGAATATTACTATCTTTCCTTTTTTATTTAGGACTCTTGATGTTCAGCCAAATCGAGTCACAGTTGGAGGTATCAGATTGCTAGAACCAATCCTTCAGAGGAGGGGACACGTGGAAAGCCATGATTTTGTCGGGTGTATAATGGAGTTTGCCGTCAATGGAAGGCCTCTGGAACCCAGCCAGGCTTTGGCAGCACAAGGCATCTTAGATCAGTATGGCAATTTTATTTCTCACTATTTTAAAGAAAAATGAAAAAAACTTATTCAAATCGAGAATCAAAAGATGAAATTATTGTGCCCAAATCCCTAAAAATACCAAATGTTTTGTATTGTTTTAAATTTTAAGTATTTATTTATAACTGTGTAATTTTGTTTGGCATAACGTGTGATATTTAATTAGAAAATTAATTTTAGGCCACCAGAGGTGAAAAGGGAAGGGGAAGGGGAGGCAGAGTTAGCGAGAAATTGGTAAAGGGCTGCAAAAAACGACCACATTGCGTAAGGGTGAATATATTAATTATACTGATTTGGGCATCACATACTGCATACAGGTATTGATATTCAAGGCTATACCCCACATATATGTAAAATCAATTATGTTTCAATTAAAAAATTAATTTATTTTCTAGATTTAATAAAAATATGTATGTAGGCATGCACGTGTGTATATTCTTTATCTTACCTTGCAGAGCTGTGAAGTTTAAACAAGTAAAGTAGGTAAATCATATAGAAAGGAGCCTGGAACACATTAATAAAAATATGTATGTAGGCATGCACGTGTGTATATTCTTTATCTTACCTTGCAGAGCTGTGAAGTTTATTTTTTTTTATTATTATTATTATTTTTTCTTAAAAAGATGACCGGTAAGGGGATCTTAACCCTTGACTTGGTGTTGTCAGCACAGTGATATGTAAATGTTAGCTATTATGTATTAAATAAAGCTTTATTTGAAAATTATGTTGTGAACAACTTTTTAGGTCAAAATCTGCTCAAACTTTAAGACATCTTTGACTCCTTTGTTTCTGTCGTATCTCACATCCGATCCATTCAGCAACCGGAATGACATTTTTAAAACACAAGTCAGCTCTTTTCACTTCTCTGCTCAAAATGTTCCAATAGCTTTCCATCTCACTCAGTGTAAAAGCCAAAGTCCTTACCCTGACTGAGAAGGGTTTCATGATTTGGCTTTCCTCTTAACTTCCTGACCATATCTACCTCCTCTTCTTCTTATTCATTCTGCTTCAACCATATTAGGCGCCTCTTGCTCCTCAAGCATGGCAGTACGCTTTCACTTTAGGGCTTTCTCGCTTGCTGCCTCATCTACCTGAATGATCTTCCACCAAGTCTACTTTGTTCTCTTACTTTGTTTAGGTCTTAACTTCCTTCCCTGCCTAGAGACTCAGCAACTCCCTAAATTCTCTATACCTTTTCTCTGTCTTAATTTTCCCCTAGAACTTTCCTCTTTCTAACATTCTACATATTTAGCCATGCTTTTTGTTTATTGTCTGTCTCTCCCACAAGGAAAAATTAA